GGGGGGGGGGGGGGGGCTAACTTTTTTTACCATCAAGGTCAGCATGAACTCGCCCCTGTTATTTTGTCCTTGGTCCGAGGGCTTGGTGCCATCAGTGTCATGTATCTCTAATCAAATTTCAACCACTGACTCGCTTGATGACAGCGATAAAATGTGTCTCTAATCATAGTTCAACCGCTGCATGGCTTGTCCTGTCGTATTGTAAACCAATTTACGGCCAGGTAAACGTCTACTAGGAGTGTGTGACCCCGTCCTTTGTCTTACAATCACTTTAGGAAACCACTTGTGATTGACACCATGTGTTGCCTTCAATGTAAAAAAAAAATGTGTTGGAAGGCAAATGTATTGAAACGCTCGATTCGTTAAAAAAACTAAAACAAATCTTTCAAATATTTTTAGCATTTCGAAAAACAAGAAAAGTGTGTGTGTGGGGGGGGGGGGCATGAGCTTGATCCAACCCCCCTCCCCCCATCTCTTCCCCGTACGAGGCCCTCAATTGGGAGATGCAACTGGATCGACGCCTCCGTCACCACATGGATCATACTTTAAAAAGTAATCCGTCCATTGATGAAGCTGACCTCTGGTTGTTAAGTTCAAGTAAATGACCCTTGACCCTCACATCTCTTTTTGATAGCAACAAGTTCTCTGACCTTATTTAGTTCAATTTCCTGTCATGTTCACCGTCTGGATACTTTTGTGTTTCCAACTGTCCAAAAATGTTCAGGTAACATGAACGAGCTGTTCCCATTTTATTTTAACTTAATCCATTTTCATCAAGTAGAATTCAGCGTTTCTCAGCTTGGGTCATATGACCTCATGTCGGCTACAGCAAAGGGGGGGGGGGGGGGGGGTTTAAAAATATTGTTGAAAAAATATAGCACTGCTTTATATTAATAACATGGAAGTGATCTAAAGAGGTAAATATAATGTGGTTACGGCCAAAACAGTTTGAGAAACGCTGCAACAGATGATTCTTATTATTCAAACATAATAAATTATTAATTTCCCAAAAATTAATTTCCCCTCTTGTGTCTCGGTTTTTATGCTTCAAATATTAAAACAATAAACAGAAATTAAGGAATTTTAATTCTTTACACAGTCCACCGTACCCAGGCCTAGTTAAAAATTTGTGTTGAAAGTCGCATCAAAATATTATTATTTTTTAACAACTTCGTATTCAAGTATGAAAATACAAGTTGACGTGTCTACCAGACAGAGATATATTTTCAGTAGATTCACTTTACTGTATTTATTTTCATAGGTCGGCATCTTAAAATGAGACACAATCACGGAATTCAATTCAATACAATTAGGATTTAATAATAAAAGTTCATGTTTGAAAATTGATTTCTTTTTTTTAAAAAGTCAGTCGTTCTGAGTTTTTAGTTTTTATAATAAGCAGGTCATGGGCCCTTAATATAGAGGAGAAGAAGAAGGTATGAACTATAAATAAGTCTCCCCTTAAACACTTATTAAAGCCAATGAACACTCGCGTTGAATGTATTAAAACCGGCCTGCACAACATACGGGCCGGATGCGGGCCGCCAGAACCCACTTAGCGGCCCACTAAGTCACGAAATACTCTTTATTCTTCTTATTATTTTTAATAACTTTCCCCCGTCTTATTTTCATTTGGCCCGCCCAAGTCCTGACCTATTTTCTTCTGGCTCGCCCAAGTCCTGACCTATTTTCTTCTCCTGCATAAGTTTTTTTTTTTTAAATTTGAGTTGTGCGGGCCTGCATTAAAGACACTGGAACTCGATCTGAGAATGCATACGGAATGGTAGGAAGGACTGCCATGAGAAACGAACTATTCTAATGACCAACTCTGTCAAGTGGGACAGTACAACAAATAAAAACCGCAAATTTGTAAAAAAAAAATAATAATAATATTTTTGCGAGTCAAAACTTTACCACGATATAAAGATAATTGTTGATGACTCCCATGAAATTTGTTGAAGACTCCCATGAGATTTGTTGATGACTCCCATTAGTTTTGTTAATGAGTTCCATGATTTTTTTTTTGATGACTGCCATGATATTTGTTGATGACTTGTGATTATATTTTGATGACTCCTGATGATATTGTTGATGATTTCCAATATTTTTTGATGACTCCTCATGATATTTTTTTATGACGACCCTGATATTTGTCGATTACTTCCATGATATTTGTTGATGACTGGTGATTATATTTTTTGATGACTCCCGATTATATATTGTTAAGGACTCCCAAGGTATTTGTTGTTGACTACCGATGGTATGTCTTGATGACTTCCGTGGTATTTGTTGAGGATTTCGGAAATATATTTGCTGAAAACACCCATGGTATTCGCTGATGACTTCCGAAGATTTGTTATGACTCCCAAAAATAAATGTTGATGATTCAGGATTATACTTCTGATGACTTCCAATGATGTTATTTAAGGAGTCCCATGATATTTTATTGAAGACTCCAGATGATAGTGTTGATGTAAAGTTCTTTTCCTATTTACACTTTCTTTACTGTTCATGAAATCGATTTTGTTCTTTTAACTTCCTTTTCTCCAAACAGCTCAACAAAGAATTAGTTTTGCAATAGAAAGATAATGTCAACACGATAAATTGCACGTGAATGAAACAGTCGTCGGGCTGATTAAATATTGGGCGTGAGTGGTTGGCATGTGTTTCTGTGTGTTGCTGTGTGTTTCTGTGTGTACTCACATCAAGACGGTTTAAACCCTGGGTGTCATGACACGCATTGACATCCATACATTTGACAATGCATAAACATAGGTTGTCAATGATATTTCCCCACATTACAAACAAATGAAGCATCTCTACGTGCAGTGGTTCAGGTTCCGAAGCCCGGTCATCGTAACATCTACGTCATTGCCTGTACTGTTAGATTTGGTAAACGATAAAAAAAAGGTCCGATATGAGTACTTGTCAATAATGTGTTTTAAGGAAGTAATCTATGTTGTTTCATGTAATATGTAATAGCCATCATAATCTACCGTCATATTGTATCTTTTGAAGTTATCATAGAACTGTTCATCTATCTATTGACATGTCGTATGTCTGATCAACTTTTATTAGCACGATGAACGGGAAAGTAAAAGAAAATAATTATTATTCAATGATTTTTTTTTTAAAGTTCCACTATATTTATTTTAAATACGTACATGAATCAATTAAATAATACAAGCTTTAAGTGTGTTGCTATAAATGTATTTATAAATGAAATGTAGATAGACGGAGGTGGCGATGACAAGAAATTTGGAGGTCGTATGGCCAGATTTCACTTGATGATCATATCCATCGCAGGCATAACAAAATGGAGCGGGTTTTCTACGTCTGTTGCCATGACTACACATGTGAAGCCGAGTTCGCGCGTTTTTTTTTTTTCTGCCCCAGTCATCAAGGTTTACCAAGTAAGCCACAGACATTGGGGCATGGTTCAGTTGAGCCTATCTTCAAGCCAGATAGCATATGATATTTTTGACGTTAGGCATGTGCCCAATATTCTGAACTTCTCTTCTGCGTTAAACAAAAAAAAGTCCCTGAAGCCTAACCTTGTTGTATTACATTTATTGTTAGAGGAAAACTCAACATAGCAGTTTTCCCCCGTCATTATCTTCATAGTGTCATTTTTCGCACTTCTAGAATCTGCCCACAGAGCTAGTGTTCGCACGTCCAGACTCTGTCAACAGAGCGAGCTTCGTTTGATAGGTTCTACGTATTTACACTGGAAAAGGTGTTATCCCTTTTGTTTAAAAATTCTGAGCGCATTATTTTTTTGATCATCGGGGAAGAAACAATTTTAAGTCAATGGTGAACATTTAACAGCGCCATTTTTAAAGACATTTTTTTCAACTTGCTAATCCATGGCTTTGTCCGAGCGAATTTTTTTTTTTTTTTTTTTTTTTTTTTATTTTGTGGTTTTTTCTTGTTTTTTTTTTTTTTTTTTTTTTTTTTTGTGGACTCAGGATCCGGTCGATTCACTCTTCCTCGTGCTGACCTGTTAGGTCGCTTCAGAGATGACGACACATAGTTTTAGCTCCAGTATGTTGCCTCGTTGTGGGGATGTGGAAGGTTGAGTTATGGGGAATTAAGAAAAGGGGATTTTAAATTAACACAACTCTAATCTTTTGCTTACAATATACATCAATCCTAACTGTAGAATTTTGGGATGGAATGGGGAAAGTTGTCGGGGTGGGGCATTTCGGGAATAAAACTCAGATCTACGCAGGGCAAGCAGCCGTTAAAAATCGTTCAGTTCGTATCTCTTTAGCGAGTTGAAACTCGTATGTGAAAGGTAGTCTTTTTTTTTTTTTTTTTAAATTTATGTGGGTTTTTTAAACAAATACTTTTTACTAACTTTGCTTTTTGTTCGTGAGACTCTTCGCCGATGCCAATGGCATTTCGGGAATAAAACTCAGATCTACGCAGGGCAAGCAGCCGTTAAAAATCGTTCAGTTCGTATCTCTTTAGCGAGTTGAAACTCGTATGTGAAAGGTAGTCTTTTTTTTTTTTTTTTAAATTTATGTGGGTTTTTTAAACAAATACTTTTTACTAACTTTGCTTTTTGTTCGTGAGACTCTTCGCCGATGGCAACACATTCTGTAAAATTCTGCTTTTGTTGCTCATTGTTGATGGCTGACAATAGTACACCCTTTATCTGGAACTAATCATTATCATATTATAACCTGTCGTTACCTTAAGGAGTCGATATTTCAAACAATTTGATAACCACTGGTTATATTGAAACTAATGGTCCACGAAGCTGAGGGTTTTGGAACAATAATTATGATGCCGTTCGAGCGAGCGGTTACAATAGCAATAATTGGCAACAACAAAAAAGCATGATATAATTGTTCAGGACACGTTCACTGTGGATAGTTGTTAGAATCTCATGTGTAATGTCACTGACGGCATTGTAATATATAGGAAGCATGCTCTCATAGTGTTAGTCAATATGTTTCATTTTAGCTTAAAACAACACAAAAGAGTGAAGTTTAAAAAAATGAGGATAAATGAATGAATAAAATATGGTCTAAATCAGTGGTTCTCAACCTTCCTAAAGCCGCAACCCTTTAATACAGTTTCTCATGTTGGGGCGACCCCAAAACACAAAATTTATTTCGTTGCTACTTTATAACTGTAGAGTATATGTGTTTTCCGATGGCCTTACGTGACCCCTCTGAAAGGGGGCTTGTGACCCGCCAAAGGGGTTGCGACCCACAGGTTGAGAACCACTGGTCTAAATGATCTCACTGATTCACGCCTGATGCCCAGGGCCTAAATACTTTTTTTTTCAAACCAATTGATCAGATTTCAGATAGTGGTTGCTCTTCTCCTGGTTCAAGGCTCGGGCCGTTTAACGAACGGCCTTCAGTTCAATGTCACAGACAACCAAGGTCAAGGATTCCTTGTATCTTTGGGAAAACTTCAGGTGAGTAAATTCCTTGGAGTTTGAAGTAAACAGAATAGGTTCAACAAATTTGACGATTGGTAACATTTGTCAATCCAATTATTGTTTCCATTGTCGTTTGTTTGCTATTTCAAATTTTGACACTTTCATTTCAATTTTCAAGTTTCATTTTTCAAGTTTTCAAAGTGTTTTTAAAGTAATCAATTTTGATAACATTTTTTTTAAAGAATGTCACCTCAAGATTTTAAATTAATCTTTGCCTTTAAATAAGGTCTGATCCTTCTTTTTTCTTATGTATACGTAAAATATTTCTGACTTGCTGCCTTCATTAAAAAAAAAAATGTATCCAAATAATGACACTTGTACCTTGCCCCACACAGCTGTTCCGACATACATTTTCATCCCCCATTTTATTTGTTGGGACGGGCCTGACATCTTTCTCCGAGGATTCTGGAAATTTTTTCATCGAGGACTACATCAGTTCCAGGTTGCCTTTGAGCAATTATTCCATTGATTGTGGCCAGACTTCCTGTACCATACGGCTGAGCAGAGGGGACACGTTCGTGAGTTTTTCATTCTAGAATTTTTACTCCATTTCAGATTTCATATTCACGAATGTAATATGTAAAAAGCACGGATGGTTAGATTAATGGTATCCCAGCAACTGATAGTCTAATGCAGCGGTTCTCAATCTGTGGGTCGCGACCCCTTTTGAGGTCGCATGACCCTTTTCGAGGAGTCGCCTAAGACCAACTGAAAACACATATTCTCTACAATTATGAAGTAGAAACGAAAATAATTTGTTGCTGAGGGTTGCCACAACATGAGGAGCTCTACCAAAGGGTAGCGGCATTAGGAAGGTTGAGAACCACTGGTCTAATGCTATTTTAAGTGTTTATAGGTTTACGGACATTGGGTTTATTTACGAAGTTAACTTTTAAAACTTCCAAAAGTCAATATCTTTCAACGGATCGGTGTTTCTGGTTCAAAAAATTAGCTGTTTGTACATGGAAGACTTCAATAGAACAACTGCTAGATAGCTTGGTCTGTTGGAAGTCAATAGCAATGTTTCAATACAAAAGTTGCTGGGTGGCCGAGCGGTCTAAACTGTCTCAAACGAAGTAGCTGGTGGTCTGGAGTTCATTCCCCACCAAAGCCAACATCCCAAGCACCCCGGGTGGATGGGACTCGTTAGTCTTGGACAACAACTTGTCTGAGAAAAGGCAAACTCTGAATTTAAACCAGGAGCCAGAATGATCAACAAATTGATCGTGGGCACCTCAAATATAAGAAGAAGAAGAACCCATATATATCTTGATTAGTTGGAACTTAATTGCAATACTTCAATAGAACAACTAATAGATATCTCGTTTTGTTAGAACTCAGTTGGAAGAAATCTTTGTCGTTTCTTGGAAAAGCAACCCCAACAAAACACAAACACATCCACCACACACACACACACGACAAAACACAAATATGTCACACATACAATGATAGACGCGAAGCTATTGTCACTAAACTGAGACATTATTTGCTACATATTTGTATCATTTACAAAGGCTTTTCTTTCTTGAATCGCCGACCCCGGTCCAGCCTCACTCTAACATAAGTACATGTAAAGTTTCCATTGAATAAACACAAGGGGTAAAAAATCTCCATTTAATCAAATATAATAAATTGCTGTTCAATATCATTGTATTGTGTTTTATGTACACATAGATTAAGTGCTAACTGTTCATTGAAAAAAGTTCAGTAATCGTACAAAGGCATCAGATAGATGTCCTGCTATAGCAGAATGAAATACGTGTAACGCCTTAAGAACTGAACACCCCGATTAAACACAAACACAAAACTACAAATAACGTTTATTTGAACCAAAAAAATGAGATGGTTAACACCTTTGGTAGATCGCTTCATTTTTAATAAAGAATAAGTACATTGTAGTACATTGTAGCCTCGGTGAATAGTTCAGGAAACCCGTGCTAAGAATAGAACAATAGAGTAGTTGTTTAATGTACACACCAGTTGTAAATAACTGGGTTAGCTGTATAAATATGGCCTATAGTTCAGGTGGACTCCAAAAATTGATTACAAGAAGTAGTAAAGAGAGATGACTGAAAGTGTAGCACGTTACTTGAATACATTGTGACAGTGTTTATTTTGTGCCTTAGCCATTGTAGATTTGGAATTTTGGGTGCTGCAAGCTAGCAAGAATTTAAAATCTTGACTCATTTTAAAACATATCTTTTTAGAATGGTATTGAAACGAATTATGACAATAAGTCAGTGACAGTACAAACACAAGATCATAAAGCAAATGAAGACAACAAAGTCAGTTGCCGTACACACACACACAAAATGATCTTACAGTTTCAAAAGGGCTAACGCTCTGTATGAACTGAAATGAAATGTAAAAGCTTAGCGTTAGAGATTATTTTCACAAACGCCTACGCCATAACAGTTTCGGAAAAGAATCATTAATGACGTCATGTGCCGGGATCCATCCGTCTTCGAGAGTAGCTGTTGTCAGTTCTATCTGAACAATGACAGAGTCCAATGCTAGAGAGGGGGGTCACTGCTGCACTTCCGCGGGGATCCTCGAAGGCTGCAGTTGTTCAGCCGTCCTGTCAAGGACGTTTGTGTAACGCCCAGCCCCCCCTCCCCACCCTCACCCCCCAGGCTTGTTAAGTTTCCAATCAAGAAACAGGGTGTTTCGTTTCTTAACTGGCTATTCACGGCAGTAGAAAAAAAGCTACCTTAAAGCACCTATGCACCTCATGCTCACACGTTAAAGCACCTATGCACCTCATGCTCACACGTTAAAGCACCTATGCACCTCATGCTCACACGTTAAAGCACCTATGCACCTCATGCTCACACGTTAAAGCACCTATGCACCTCATGCTCACACGTTAAAGCACCTATGCACCTCATTCTCACACGTTAAAGCACCATTGCACCTAAGTCCCATTGTTCATTCCAATTCACAGGTAGCTCTGCGCCTGCAGTCAGAGCAAAGCCAACCTCTTGTCATTGACTTTGAAGACCAAAGTTCAGATTTCGATCGTATTTGGCTGAGGTTGAAGGCAGAAGATGGCGAAGAAATTTATGGAGGTGGTGAACAGTTCTCTTACTTTAACCTCCGGCACAGGGACCAGGGCAGAGAAAACGTGTTTCCTGTGTGGGTTCGGGAACAAGGTAGGAGATGCTATGCATATAAATATCCGTCTTTATAGTGCAGGGGTTCTCAACCAATGGGTCACGACCCCTTTGAGGGTCAAATGACCCTTACACAGGGGTTGCCTAAGATCATCGGAAAATACATATTTATGAAGTGGCAACGCAAATAATTTCATGGTTGGGGGTCACCACAACATGAGGAACTTATTAAAGTGTCGCGGCATTAGGAAGATTGAGAACCACTGGTTTGGTGGATCGATAAGATAATTATAATATTTCTTTCTTTGCGAGACAAGGCTATTGCTAAATTCGATGTATGCACGACTGGGTGCTATTGTTTTATTTGATCTATGCCAGACTGGGGCTATTGTTTCATTCGATCTATGCAAGACTGAGGCAGGTAATTGTTTCATTTTATCTATGCAAGACTTAGTGCTATTGTTTCATTTTATCTACGCAAGACTGTGGCTATTATTTGATTTAATCTATGCAAGACTGGTTGCTACTGTTTCATTGTTGTATGTAATTTAAATAAAAAATTAAATGGACTTTCCAGGCTGATTAATTTAACCAAGCGATACCTCTTCATTTCAATGTTTTTAAGATCTCAACTCGTCAATGGTCAATTATTCTTAAAACGGTTTGGTAGCGGGGGGGGGGGCATCAGTGGTTTTGCAAGGATTAGTGCCACCTCTGTCGGGCAAAGATTTTTGCCAAACCCAGCAAAAATGCAACAACCCCGCAGTTGGCTGAAAATGCTGGTCCTAAATATACAGCAAAAAGTGCCGTCCGGGGCGGACAGCCCACTCGGACCACCCCCCACCCCATCCCACCCTCCCTGGGTCATTGGGTGGCCTTTGTAAAGTGAATGCATTTATCTAATATCCGATTTAAGTTCTTTTAGAAAAGTTCATTTGATGACCGCACTAAAATCCAACTGCACTCGGCACGGTATTGAGAATGCAGCAATGCCGTTTCTTATCCAGCTTACATGCTCCTTAATATTATGGAACATGTCCTACATTATCAAAACTCGTGGTGTTATTCCTTAACGTTAAGCTTACTATCAACATCATGTTTAGCCCCTGTCCCTTTCAATGTCACTGTCCCTGTCACTGTCACTATCCCTTTCACTGTCCCTGTCACTGTCCCTGTCACTGTCCCTGTCACTGTCACTATCCCTTTCACTGTCCCTGTCACTGTCACTATCCCTTTCACTGTCCCTGTCCCTGTCACTGTCCCTGTCCCTGTCACTGTCACTATCCCTTTCACTGTCCCTGTCACTGTCACTATCCCTTTCACTGTCCCTATCACCGTCCTTGTCCCTCCACTTAAACTAAACTCCTCAATTATGAAAAAAAGATTTATCACGACATCTAGATAATCTTACAGCCACGAAGACTATCTTATCTAAATATCCGAATTGTCTCAATCTTCTACCAGATAATCATCTCACCGTTCTGTCTAGCTCTGAATAGGGGATCAATGAGCAGAACTCGACATGATCAAGATGGCGCTCCAGTAGAACTACTTTAATGCCACAGATGGAAAGGGAGATAAGTCTTAATAACATTGCTATCACGCCCATGTCCTAATGGGCACCGTTCTCAACACAGAGCGTCGGGAATAAATATCACGTCATTAAATTGAGTTCACTGCAGTAAAAATAATATTGAAGCAGGCAATCCATCAGTATTACATGACAACCAGATGACGATAAATAGCACAATTGTTGTAAAGACATTGGGGGTTGTCTTTTCCCTCTTCAAATAAACAACAACCCGTGGTTGGAGCCGGGCATTGGTGCTGGTGGTCAAATTATTTCACACTTTCATCTGTTACAAAACGTACATGAGTGATAATTTTTTTTTTTATTATTCGCTAATTTGGCTCGTCCAGTTTTAAGGAAATTAATGTCAGCTTCCATATTCTCAAACTTATGTTTGCTTTCATATGTTACAAAACGTATCTTCCATATTCTCATCCTACTGTCTGCGAACTCAGGCCCTACTTATTGGTTATACGATGAATTATTTCCCGGCTGCTTGTGACGTTCCAGATTTAACCATCAACAAGGGAGAGTTACTCCAGATTTAGCCATCAACAAGGGAGAGTTACTCCAGATTTAGCCATCAACAAAAGAGAGTTACTCCAAATTTAGCAATCAACAAGGGAGAGTTACGTGATGCACACAAATTATCGGTGTTTTGATAACCAGCGTCGTAAATAGTATTTATTATTCCTTTCACCTCAAACCATATTTTAATTGAAGCGGATACCTTGCCACTCTTTACATTGTCACGTGGCTCTTTACATTGTCACGTGACTCTCTACGTTGTCAGGTGGCTCTCTACGTTGTCACGTGGCTCTCTACGTTGTCACGTGGCTCTCTACGTTGTCACGTGACTCTTTACGTTGTCATGTTGAACTGCTAGGCTTGTTCTTAAGGCAAAAAAACGTGATCACGTCACTCCACTACTCCACTCACTACATTGGCTCCCTATACAGGCACGCATTGACTACAAGCTGTCTCTTCTCTGTCACAACTTTTTCTCGGATTCCTGCCCTTCCTATCTAACTGAACTTCTTTCTGTCTATTCACCCCTTCGACAACTTCGCTCCTCCGCAGACTCGCGTATTCTGTCCGTTCCCAAGACACGCACTAAATTATATGGTGAACGATCTTTCTCTTTCTGCGCCCCCAAACAATGGAATTCTTTGCCACTACACATCCGCAATATAACAACCACACAGGCCTTCAAAACTGCACTCAAAACACATCTATTTAAACTATACTACTCTGACTGATTCTCCTCCTATAAACCGATAAACGTACATGGGTTTCCTTGTAAAAATGTCTGGTGTGGGTGGATGAATAGACCTATGGTGTTGTTTTGCTTATATGTTGTTTTTATTTCATTTATGTATTTTATTTTAATATTATGATTATGCCTCTTTGCTATATATGTACAGCGCGGTGAGCCCAGCCCTAGGCCGGGGTACCGCGCTATATAAGACCACTTATTATTATTATTATTATTATGTTACTGTTTACATTGTTTTAAATAACTTAATATACATATTTCAGATATAGTAAAACATTTTAGATAGACACATTGTTTTACTAGTAATGTAGCAGATTTATACCTTTATTTAGAGATATGAAATCTTATTTAGATAAGTTAAATCTTATTTAGAAATATCAAATCTTATTTAGGGATATCAAATTATTATTTTTTTTAACATCAGAAATCGGAAAATAGCAGTTCATTTATTTATACTCAAGTTTTAGGAATCTCATGGAAACCGTAATGACGCCATTAACCCACAGGTTGCTATTTATAAATATATTATGATAAATAATTAGAGTGGGATAAACATGCAAGGAAAGACATGCAAAGTAAGTTTAGTGATCACAGTTTAGCAGGACACAACAAATCAGCTCGATCAAAACCGTATAGTGTACTTAAATAAAGACCACGTTCAAGCTGTGTGAAGGAAATAGCAGATCAATGTATGTGGAAGCTTGAAATTAGAAAGAAAAGACAGTTTAAGATGAACCTTTTAGCCAAGAGCCCTCCTCGGGAGACAGGACAAATGAAGAAATAACAAGAAATAGAAATTATTTTTTTTTAAAATATTTTAAAAGTTAACAACTTCCGGCAATGAATGTGGCGAAAACTTAATACTATTTCTTAGTAGCACCGTCCTTCTTTTACTTTCCTGTCTTTCTATTTCAGAGCGTCCACAAACCTTGTTCTGCTATTTTCTAAAATACTAAATTCTGTTACCATGTAGCTTAGCGCAGGCATCTTGTTCATACGTTCAATAAAGTAAGTCACGGACACAAACTTTAGTCTTTTGCGATCAGTCAAAGAAAAAAATGATAGATTACCCAGTCCAATCTGGGGAAATATGAGGGATTAACCCAGTCCAATCTGGTGGGAAATGTGATGCATTGCCCAGTCCAATCTGGGGAAATATGAGGGATTCACCCAGTCCAATCTAGTGGGAAATGTGATGGATTACCCAGTCCAATCTGATGGGTAATGTGATAGATTACCCAATAAAATATAACAATTATAAATTATTATTCAATAAATGTGGGAAATAGACTAATTATGTAACAAATTGGGAAATATAATTATTTTAAAAAGCTGGGAAATGTAATTATTATTCAATAAATATGGAAAATATTATAATTATTCAATAAATATGGGAAGTATGATGATAATTATTCAATAAATATGGGACGTATGATGATAATTATTCAATAAATATGGGAAGTATGATGATAATTATTCAATAAATATGGGAAATATGATAATTATTCAATAAATATGGGAAATATGGTAATTATAACTAATAAGAAACGCTTAAAAACAAACGGTATTTTCTAAATTAAAGAATAATAATTAAAACCCATACTATCCACCAGTTACCCAGATAAATTGATCAAACATCATATTTGTGGTAATTAGTTCTGTGAAGGTATCATGCATTGTTATCAAGTATCATGCATTGCTAATGACGTATCATGCATTGTTGTCAAAAGAAACTCGACCGGGACTCTTAGTATCTAACTGTGATAGGACCTCATCGCCATCTTCCGACATATTTGTGACGGTGGGAGTCCCGACATAGGACATGGAGGCCAACGCATCAAGCCTCGTCTGGTTGTCAATGCTCAGGTTCGGTGGCGAGTTCCTCTTCATGATGAAGCTCGTCTTGGACCCCAGCCTGACCACCGACGTCTGGTGCATCTGCGTGCCCCCCACGTACATCCACTCGGGATCCGTCTCGTCGTCCCTCTTCCTCGGCTTGGTGTACTTCTCTTCGATCAGCCGCTTGATGGAGAGCCTGTTGATGTCGGCCAGCTCTGACGGCGGGGACTTCAGCTCGCCCGTGCTGCTGAACGCGTCGTAGTCCACAATGTTGGTGGGTTCCTGCTCCAGCCAATCGGCGACCTTGACCACGACCTCCGTCTCGTCGAGTTCTTCCACGCGGACGATGACCTCGTGCTTGCGCAGTCGGCATTGGCGCACGTCCTCGTCGTCGTCTTCGCTGTCACTCTCCAGGGAAAACCTGGTGAACAGCCGGTGGAGTCGATCTTCTTTGTGGAGTCGCATGATTTCATAGTAGCCGCCTATGATTCTGCCGCGGACGAAGAGAAGTGGAACTTGTCTTGAGTTGAGCCCCGATAACAGCAGCAGGTAGTCCTCAACCTGTCAAGTCAACGTAACGTAAGCAGGGAGCATTGGAAATTATGTTTAAAATTTTATTTTTGTAGCAATTAGTTTTGATAGAATATTTTTGAGTGGCCTAGTTTTGTCCGATCAATGTTGGTGACATTTTACGTCACATAAACAAGGATTACCATCCGTTTCAATGTTCGACATTTCGCTAAAGAGTCAATGCCTAAAAGATGTCCACTTTTACGTCAACTCTGGTCTGCATCGTCGGAGCCACGGTCCGAAAGTCGGAAAATATGGCTTAAACGTTCTGATTTGACTTATCCAACTAATTGTACGGAATACTTTGATTGGAGCAGTCAACGACTTACACTGGAGCAGTCAAAGACTTACACTGGAGCAGTCAAAGACTTACACTGGAGCAGTTAAAGACTTACACTGGAGCAGTCAAAGACTTACACTGGAGAAGTCAACGAGTTACACAGGAGTAGTCAAAGACTTTCTTTGGAGCAGTCAAAGACTAACATTTGAGCAGTCAAAGACTTACACTGGAGCAGGCAAAGACTTACACTGGAGTAGTCAAAGACTTACACTGGAGCAGTCAACGACTTACACTGGAGCAGTCAACGACTTCCACTGGAGCAGTCAAAGACTTATACTGGAGTAGTCAAAGACTCACACTGGAGCAGTCAAAGACTTACACGGGAGCAGGCAAAGACTAACACAGAAACAGTCAAAGACTTACACTGGAGCAGTCAAAGATTTACACTGGAGCAGTCAAAGACTTACACTGGAGCAGTCAAAGACTTATACTGGAGTAGTCAAAGACTTACACTGAAGCAGTCAAAGACTTACACGGGAGCAGTCAAAGACTAACACAGAAACAGTCAAAGACTTACACTGGAGCAGTCAAAGACTTACACTGGAGCAGTCAAAGACTAACATTGTAGCAGTCAAAGACTTACACTGGAGCAGTCAAAGACTTACACTGGAGTAGTCAAAGACTTACACTGGAGCAGTCAAAGACTTACACTGGAGCAGTCAACGACTTACACTGGAGCAGTCAACGACTTACACTGGAGCAGCCAAAGACTTACACTGGAGCAGTCAAAGACTTACACTGGAGCAGTCAAAGACTTACACGGGAGCAGGCAAAGACTAACACAGAAACAGTCAAAGACTTACACTGGAGTAGTCAAAGACTTACACTGGAGCAGTCAAAGACTTATACTGGAGTAGTCAAAGACTTACACTGGAGCAGTCAAAGACTTACACGGGAGCAGGCAAAGACTTACACAGAAACAGTCAAAGACTTACACTGGAGCAGTCAAAGACTTACACTGGAGCAGTCAAAGACTAACATTGTAGCAGTCAAAGACTAACATTGGAGCAGGCAAAGACTAACATTGGATCAGTCAAAGACTTACACTTGAGAGGTCAAGGACTTACATTGGAGCAGTCAGATCGTTTCTCGATGTCCACATAGGTCCACCATTTGTCGGTCAGTTGATGTTGGTATTGCTTCAGGATTTCTTTGACCATTTGGGTCTCGGGGGAGTAACTCTTGCCAAACATGACTATCTAAGAAAATTTTTTAAAAATTTAAAATAATAACATGGATTATTCATTTGACCATCTACGCATAATATTTGTATAATAATCTCACACAGAAATCCGAACAAAACAAAATATTTTAAAAGTTTGTTTAAAAATTCAAGTGCTTATCCAACTGAAAAAGTGCAAGATGAATTACGTCAATGTGACTGAGACAACTCCTATGGCATAAGTTGTTTACTTCTTATTTGGAAATATTGAATTCATCTTGGCTTCCATCTGTCTTTCTATTTATATTTATTTTTGTAGGAGTCTGACGTTTACTTAATTTTTATTTATCTAATTACTCAGTCCTCATTTTGAGGTCAATAGTCACAGTTATATTGTCATAGTTTTATAGCCATCTTTCTATTGCAAATAGCTCTATAGCCATAGTTGTATAGCCATAGTTATATAGTCATTGTTTTATAGTCATCGTTCTATAGTCATTGTTCTGTCCAATCCTATATGACCGAAGGGGTTTACCACACAACAACCTCGCCAGTTACGCTTCTCATGGTTGATTAATTAGACACCAACAATTTGTGTCAATATAACAATATATGTTAAGCTTTAATAATAATTTTACATAATACACTAGTCATCGTTTCGGCACATGCCTTTATCACTAAAATAATAAAACATTTAAATAAGTATAAAATAAATGTACATAATATTTTTATATATGTATCCTACCCCAAAAAAGATAAAACAATATGAGTGGTGCAAAACCCAGACAGAAACAGAGTAAAGAAGAATGGAAAGGAAGTGATTTGAAATAAAATGTAAAAAAAAAAGGGAAAAAGACATGGCAGCTATGCATTATTGGTATTATTTTTTTTTTTTAATAATTGATATAATTTAATAAATATACCTTTTTATGTTTCAGTCGTTGGTTTACAAAAGGAATAGCGTTGGCCATTTCTAAACTCTCGCAAATTCAGTGAAACATTTGCAAAAGTTATCATTTGAAATAATAAGATGCTTTTTTAATATATTCTACGGAGCACCTGTACTGGAACTAATGGACGGCACCCTTCGATTCGAATCAGGGACTCTCTTCTAGTTTCAATCTAAAACACAACGCAACACAACAATGCGTGGGCAAATCTATATATAGATTTAGTGAAGATATGTTGAAACACTTGGTAGTCATGCACTGTTGTAGAGCTCAGTTGTGCTCTAGCGTGTTAATCCTGTTAATCCTTTAATCCGTTCGGGTCGAAGCCGGCATGTCTCTCAACTTAAATCTGCTGGATTGGAAAGAACTTTTTTTGTGTGTGCCGTGGAATTGAAAAGCAATGCGTTAATTTTTCTTTAATGTGCCCATTGGTGCACAACCCGGTGTACGGGAATATCATGTGCCCATTGGTGCACAACCCGGTGTACGGGAATATCACAAATGTAACATGGTTTTATTCAACATTCTCCTGGTCTATAAAACGTATTACATTTTTAAAATTAAAATAGACCTCAAAATGTTGACTTGAGGAATCAAGAAAATTGTGTGATAACTTTAGGCAGTAACACAATCAAGAAATCTTTTTTTTAAATCAAATGATGCACATCAAAGCCAGAAATCAAACAAGACATAATTTTTTTTAAGACTGCAAGAACACATGACAGTGACATCCCTTTGACTCCACGTCCTCTGGCATGATGCGCATGATATAGAAATAGTGTCAGCGGGGTCCGTGAACTGCAAGTTTATTTTGTAATTTTATTTGGTGCCTTTTATAAACAAAACGTAATTCTAAGAAAAGACTCAAAACCTTCACCTGATTAGCAAAGGGTACCATGACACACAAAAAATGTTAAGAACCCCTGATGTCGCCGGATTTTTTCGGAATGACATAAAGATTCTGGTAACTAAGGCACATATTCACTGCCAGACTGTGCCTATATGGCTCTTAGTCCAGATTCGTGGGCTCAGATTAGGGCCGTCTGAGTTGAAGTTAGGGTCAAGCCAGGTGTTGACATCATTGGTTGTATCATCAAAGACATTTCTAGAGATACAAAATTATGTATCGTCATTAATGGGTATCATTCGTTTCCCTGGGATGTTTGAAATTCCTTGCATAGATGCTCCCATTGGTTGACCATTCCTGATTCCTTATTGGTTGCATGACTTTCTGATCAGTTCGACCATAGGCTGAACAGCCCTGACTCTTGATTGGTTGCAGTATTTCTGATCAGTTCTATGTTGAACAGTTCTGACTCCTGATTAGTTGCATGACTTTCTGATCAGTTCTATGTTGAATAGTTCTGACTCCTGATTAGTTGCATGACTTTCTGATCAGTTCTATGTTGAATAGTTCTGACTCCTGATTAGTTGCATGACTTTCTGATCAGTTCTATGTTGAACAGTTCTGACTCCTGATTAGTTGCATGAATTTCTGATCAGTTCTATGTTGAACAGTTCTGACTCCTGATTAGTTGCATGACTTTCTGATCAGTTCTATCATTGGTTGAACAACCCTGACTTCTTACCTTTTTACCGGAGTTAATACATTACGCATGAAGCTCGCTGCGTGACAGCCTTTTTTGCACTCAGTATTATTAATATGAAATAGGTGGATTTGTTTGGGGGGGGGGCGGTTTTGAACAGGAAGCAGAACGCAGCAGAAGTAAAATATGTATAAGAGATTCTAATAGGCTTGAATTTGCCAGGTGTTGGACGTAACAAGAGTACCCAGGTGACGTTTGCCGCTGACGTCCAGTCCAGGGCAGGGGGAGATTACCACACCACTTACTTCCCCCAACCAACATTCGTCTCATCCAGGCGTTACTTCCTGCATCACGATGGACCCAACTATGCCGTCTTGGATTTCAGGTAGTCACGCCATCAACAACCCATCTGACAAACCGGTCTGAAAACTTATCAACTTTCAATTTTTGTCTCATCTGTTGATATGATGTATTTTTAGAAACAAATTTATATTAATTCAACATGGGGGATACGTATGTGTGTTTGTGGGTAAATGTGTGAATGTGTATATGTATGCGTTTGAGTTACATATGACTTTTCATTTCGTTAAGGGATTTAAATATTAATTATCTTTCTTAGCTACGTCATCCAGTCAACTAAGTCAATCTGGACGATCAAACTGCTAAATACGCAGTTCAACAAAAAAATAATAATTATAATGATATTAAGGGTTTGTTTTTGTGTGTGTTTTTTTTTTTGTAAATTAAATAAAGCTTTAACTCTCAACACCTCTCTACAGAGCTCATTGGTAAGTGTGGGGGAAGCCCCCATCTAAGTCACAATGCATTCTAACTGTCGTGGACTCCTTGAGTCAGATTGTTTATAAATTACTTTTGCATTGGTTTCAACTCTTTGCACTGCAATTATTTTCGCTCTCAGAAGCCCAGAATTTCATGAAATCTTTGTCCTCGGGCTGCCGGGCAAATTCTTCATCAACTCAGGGGACACTCTTCTGGGAGTAGTCACGGCGATGACGTCATTCTTTGGTCGTATGCCAGCTCTTCCTGATTGGATAATAAGTGGAGCAATCCTAGGACTTCAGGGAGGAACACAAACGGTAGGGAGTGGAGATTTTTTTTTTTTTTAAATGAAATCAAATCCAGATTTTTCTTTCAATATTTAAATACTCATTAGCAAAGACTTGGCGGATCTTGAGGTGGAAATAATGGGGTAGATATCATAGACACTCATAATTACTACAACAACAAAAATTCAACATTGAATATTTTGATGAGAGGATTCATTTTAAACAAATATTTGAACTTGTAGAAGAAAGTTTTTTTGTGACTAGTATTTTTATATGGGGCCAGACTTAAAGGAGGAGCACAATCTCCCGTCAGGTTAAACAAAAAGATGTCAACAACAGTGCAGACGTGTGTAGTTTCTCAGCTACTTCAATTGATTAAATCAGAAATGAAGAAACATCCTTAATATGTCTCTAAATGGATGTGTCTGATTGTAGACAAAGGAAACAGCCCTAATATGTCTCTAAATGGATGTGTCTGCTTGTAGACAAAGGAAACAGCCCTAATATGTCTCTAAATGGATGTGTCTGAATGTAGACAAAGGAAACAGCCCTAATATGTCTCTAAATGGATGTGTCTGATTGTAGACAAAGGAAACAGCCCTAATATGTCTCTAAATGGATGTCTCTGGATGGAGACAAAGGAAACATCCATAATAAGTCTTTAAATGGATGAGTCTGGATGTAGACAAAGAAAACAGCCCTAATATGTCTCTAAATGGATGTGTCTGGAGGTCGTTGACTGGCGTTTTCTAATCATCCCACAACTTGGCGGCTGTCTTTTGCGTTCAGTAATTGAGGACTTTTATTCAGGGTTGACTTACTTTCCCAAAATAGTTGCATCGCCTGGCTGACGCGTCTGTTCGCTGTTAACTGTTTTATGGCTGAATATTACTGCGTTGCTATAATTAGTAAATTCGTCAGAACTTTTATTTCTTTTAAAACCTCATTAATTTTTACCTAGAGCAATTCATTAAATCATACAGATGTAAACCTTTAAGTTAGACCTTCCTATTTCATGTGCCCCCACCCCCAACCAAACCGCCCAAAAAAACCAACAACACTCAAACAGATGTTGGCCAGGTACAAGTATGCCAAGGACAACCAAATTCCCGTTGCGGCACTCTGGATACAAGATTGGTCTGGAAAGGTTGAAATGCCATTTGGCAAGAGGGTGAACTGGGACTGGACATGGGACCCCGCCTGGTACCCTGGTGAATATTACTTGAATAGTTCATTAGATACAAATATTTACAATTATTTGTATCGTTTAATTTGGCTTGAAATGTTGCTCGGTAGGAAAAAAGACTTAGCTCTCAGTGATGTTGACAGATGTAGCGACACATTGACAGGTGGACAACACTTTCACAGATGTAGCGACACATTGACAGGTGGACAACACTTTGACAGATGTAGCGACACATTGACAGGTGGACAACACTTTGACAGATGTAGCGACACATTGGCAGGTGGACAACACTTTGAACCATTTAAAAGTTAATATAATAAATACAGACATTTTAAAAGGAAAGAGAACTTCTGGATCATGTTCGTATCAATATTCAATACTTGACTTGATAATTTGAATTGAATCATCAAAATGCATGGACGTTTGGACATTAATACATGGTTCCTTGTATGTGTACATTCTCAAATTGTCTTTTTTCTGATGTGGTATTTGATATGCGTGTAAAGGGTAATACATGATGTATGGCTGTCTTTCTTGTATGAAGATACCTATCAGAGAAGCGACTTGGAACGACTCTTTGCTGCTAATTTTGAGCATTACTGTGTACATACTTTTTAAAAAAACTTAATAAAAATGATACATCTTCAGGTTTAGATTCAGCCATACAGAACTTAACTCGGGAAGGTGTTCGAGTGTTGGCCTACATCAACCCTTACCTAAGACAGAATGGTCATCTCTTTACCGAGGTGGGTACCACGCTTGGGTAAGCCATGACATCAGATCATAGCGTTATTCATCTCACTAGTCTGCATCATTTATTGCTTAGGATCTATTCAGATGTTCGTGAATATGCTGTCCATGTATAATAAACTCGTTGTGTTACAAGCACGAACATGTTCGCTGGTATTTTCATCACAGGATTATTTGTGTGTCTGTCTCGCAGGCGGCAACAAAAGGCTACCTCGTGAAAAATGAAACCGGGGGTGTCTACTTGCAAAGATCTGTAACGCTTGTCTTCGCCTCGGTAGACTTAACCAATCCGGATGCCTTCAAGTGGTATAAAAATGGTAAATGCATTGATGACATGCCAGGTTCTTGTTACGATGAGTTCTGCTTTGCTCAGAATGTAAATTAAAGTTTGTTAGAAACATCTTTAAAATGGAGCAAATGGATTTTTACTTTTAAAACATCGGTCAAATTTACATTTTCAAATCACTTCCGGGATAGCTGTTCGTGGCTTCCTAATAATATAAAACTGGGGAAATAGTTGATATTGTATTCTTTAAAAAGGTGAAATTCATTGGATAAATCAGTTGTGATACACTACTTTCGTTTGGGAATTAATTTTTAGCAACACTGTTTTTTTGTTGTTGTTTTTTTTTTGGTCGGAAAAAGTCAAATATTTTGATCATGACAACTGTGTCCACAGTGATAAGGACTAATATGATTGACCTGGGGCTGGGTGGCTGGATGGCCGACTTTGGCGAGTATTTACCCGTGGACGCCAAACTCTACGACGGGCGTTCTGGTCTGCAGGCCCACAATGAGTGGCCCGTTCTGTGGGCCAAACTCAACAGAGAAGTGGTGGAGGATGCTGGGAGACTGGGGGATATCGTCTTCTTTATGAGGGCTGGATACTCAGGTAGTACGAGGTCATGTCAGATGTCACAACTCAGATGATACGAAGTCATGTCATGTCATATGTCACAACTCAAGTAATACCTTGTCATGTCATGTCAAATGTCACTAACTCAGGTAATACGAGGTCACATCATGAAAAATGTCACTGTTCATCATACCCCGTTGAAATGGCTAGAAAGACTTTGCAATTATATGCTAGTAATTAGTTTTTGTAGTGTTGCGTTTGTTTTAAATGTGGTAAATTATAGATTTGTTTTTTGTTGACTTTGTACCGCGCTTCGAGCCTTTGGGGATAAAGCGTGTTTTTGAAATGAACTTTATTATTATTATTATTATATCAAGTAAATAAAATCATAGACTGTCATACATTTTATTCTTGATATTTTGAATGAAGTCCTTATTTTTCTCAATTGATTTGGTTGAATTTTGTTGTAAAATGATTTGAAGATACCAAGGACTTATTTCATCTGATAACGATTATTGATTTCAATCTCGTGTTGTCCTCCAGGTGGACATTGTGTTGCTGTTGTTCAAATTACGATATTAAATAAGGATAAAACAAAGTAAACTATCAAACTAATGGTTAGGAAGGTAATGGTTTTATTTTTTGAATATTATGAAACCATGAGTAAAACCAATTTTCATTTACTAACAGTACAAGTGTGTTGTTCTTTTCTGTTTAGGGTGGATGCCACTAGGATAGGGATTTGTTTCGTTTTGGGTGGATGCCACTAGGATAGGGATTTGTTTTGTTTTGGGTGGATGCCACTAGGATAGGGATTTGTTTTGTTTTGGGTGGATGCCACTAGAATAGGGATTTGCTTCGTTTTGGGTGGATGCCACCAGGATAGGGATTTGTTTCGTTTTGGGTGGATGCCACTAGGATAGGGATTTGTTTCGTTTTGGGTGGATGCCACTAGGGTAGGGATTTGTTTCGTTTTGGGTGGATGCCACTAGGATAGGGATTTGTTTCGTTTTGGGTGGATGCCACCAGGATAGGAATTTGTTTCGCTTTGGGTGGATGCCACTAGGATAGGGATTTGTTTCGCTTTGGGTGGATGCCACTAGGATAGGGATTTGTTTCGCTTTGGGTGGATGCCATTAGGATAGGGATTTGTTTCGTTTTGGGTGGATGCCACTAGGATAGGGATTTGTTTTGTTTTGGGTGGATGCCACTAGGATAGGGATTTGTTTTTTTTGGGTGGATGCCACTAGAATAGGGATTTGTTTTGTTTTGGGTGGATGCCACTAAAATAGGGATTTGTTTCATTTTGGGTGGATGCCACTAGGATAGGGATTTGTTTCGCTTTGAGTGGATGCCACTAGGATAGGGATTTGTTTCGCTTTGGGTGGATGCCACTAGGATAAGGATTTGTTTCGTTTTGGGTGTATGCCACCAGGATAGGGATTTGTTTCGCTTTGGGTGGATGCCACTGGGATAGGGATTTGTTTCGTTTTCGGTGGATGCCACTAGGATAGGGATTTATTTCGTTTTGGGTGGATGCCACTAGGATAAGGATTTGTTTCGTTTTGGGTGGATGCCACCAGGATAGGGATTTGTTTCGTTTTGGGTGGATGCCACCAGGATAGGGATTTGTTTCGTTTTGGGTGGATGCTACTAGGATAGGGATTTGTTTCGTTTTGGGTGCTTGCTACTAGGACCATGATTTATTGTGTTTCCACGATACGATGTATCATATAAATGAGTTAACCTGGCGTACAGGTTCGAATGCTACGTTAAAAAAAATAAACATCTCAAGACTGACAACTTCATTCCCGTGCCAGGCATCAGCAACTACACCACACTCATGTGGAACGGTGACCAGGACGTGGACTTCTCCCTGGCCGACGGGGTGCGCTCCACCATCTACGGCTCCCTCAGTATGGGCATGAGCGGTGTAGGCTTGACCCACTTCGACATAGGCGGATACACGACCTTCGCTTTGCTGGGCCTGGTCAGGACTAAAGAGCTTTTCCTGAGGTCGGCAGAGATGGCCGTTTTTACATCTGTATTCAGGACTCACGAGGGTGAGTGGTTCATTTACAACAGTGGGATACTTAGTTTCTAAGTACTCGAGTACTGTAGAGCAAGATACTTAATTTCTAAGTACTCGAGTACTGGACAGCAATAAACTTAGTTTCTAGGTACTCGAATACTGTACAGCATGATACCCAGTTTCTAGGTACTCGAGTACTGTACAGCATGATACTTAGTTTCTAGGTACTCGAGTACTGTACATCAGTATAATTAGTTTCTAAAAACTCGAGTACTGTACAGTGAGATACTTAGTTTCTAGGTACTCGAGTACTGTACACAGGATAATTAGTTTCTAGGTACTGGAGTACTTTGCAGAAGAATATTTAGTTTTTAGGTACTTGAGTACTGTACAACAGAATATTTAGTTTTTAGGTACTTGAGTACTGCACAACAGCATACGTAGTTTCTATTTACTCGAGTACTGCACAGCTAGTTGGTTTTAACCTTGTGTTTTTATTTGCGATGATAAATTATATTTATTTTGATTTGGTTATTTTCTTAAAAAGAAAATTTTAAGGAGAAAAGTTCAACAAGAGGAATAGAAACATTTGCTTTTGGATATTACACCAGGAATGGCGAAATTCTGGAATAATCACTCCAGATAAGGAGAAGATTTCCATTAGAGTTACGTTTTCAATTGCACGAATAAACACGAATCACCAATGTACGCAACCAAAAGTGCGCCACCAATAGTCTGCCACCAAATAGTGCACCACGAATGTGCGCCACAAATTGTGCGCCTCAAATAGTGCGCCACCAAACAGTGCGCCACCAATTAGTGCAACACCAATAGTCTGCCACCAATAGTCTGCCACCAATAGTCTGCCACCAATAGTCTGCCACCAATAGGCTGCCACCAATAGTCTGCCACCAATAGTCCACGGGCTTTAAGACATCAACTGTACATCAATGAAGATCCACCATTAAAATTATCAACTCTCGCAATTATTAGTAAATTTTTTCCCTTACATTTCACAACAGAAGTCATCTCCCTTGTTTGTATTTATTTATAGTAAATAAACAATTACCGTCAAATTCAAACTGTCACGTCAAACTAGGGGAGCTAACACACACTTTTGAATGATGTTTTTGTCAACTTAGGTAACCAACCAGAAGCCAATGTGCAATGGTACAGCAATGATACAGCGCCATCTTTTGCCAGATTGGCCAAACAGTTTGCTCTACTCAAAGACTACAGGTGTGTCATTTGTTCTTATTCTAAAAGACTACAGATGTATCACATATTTGCATACAGCATGATCGAATTATAATTTTTTGAGGTTGAAATTGTGATGTTTTTGAAGTTGTTGCAGTTATAAATTTGTTTGTTGTAAGATGAATGTTCGACATGATGCTTTGGTAAGTTGAAATTTGGTGCCGTGTTGCGAGACAGTAATGGTTTTTAAGACCTTTCTCCTGGTTTGTAGTGAGCTGAAACCAGTTTATTTTAAGACTACATATGTTTTTTAACAATTTTTGTTAATTCATCAAAAGATCTTGATAAATGGAACAACTAAAGAAACAATTGATTCAAACTAGCAACACAATACAATAAAATGGTCAAAAGAACATCTCATTGAGAAAAATTATGCCTCAATGACAAATTAGTTCTCCATGTAATCACATTTTCACCACCCCAGTGGCGCTAAATATTTGAAATGTCCAGGCTCTAAATTTTTTTTTTTTAAATGGTCACCTTATGCTTGGGATATTTTAAATACACTTACGTCACGGGTACTCTAATATAGTCTCTGGAGAAGGTTTGTCCTGACCCTTAAACTGTTAAGTGTTGTTCACTGAGAGATAGGAAGTGTGTAAAAAATCAACTTGACTTACATACATTTCGCATTAGATCGTATTGGAACAGTACATGACTTAACCAGTACAGGATCAAAACGATACAGGACTTAACCAGTACAAGACATAACTAGTACAGGACCCAACCAGTACATGACCTAAACAGTGTAGGACCTAACGGTACAGGATATAACCAGTACATGACCTAACCAGTACATGACCTAAACGGTGTAGCACCTAATGGTACAGTAGCTAACCAGTACATTACCTAACTAGTACATGACCTAAATGGTGCATATTTTAACAGTACAGTACCTAGCTCCAAACTGTTTAACATTCCCCCCCCCTTTTTTTGTACATTAATCTGGAATGAAGCGTGGTTACGTGCATTAGATTCAGAATTTGTTAACGTGCAATTTTATCAATACTTGATTTTAACACTTTATAAAATTTGTGTTTTGATTTTAGGAAGTTTGTGGTGAATCAAGTGGCTGGCGAAGGCATTCCGGCGATTAGACCGATGAAGCTCATCTATGAAGACGACGATGCTCCCTACAGCCAATATCTGTTTGGGCCTGACCTACTGGTGGCGCCAGTCTTCACTGAAATGATAAACGAATGGCCAGTGGTGCTCCCAGGTGGCTCTGATGGTGAGAATACGGTTGAACAATTAGTATGTATGTTACGACCAGAGCCCGAAATCGGCCAAAGTGGGATCCGGCCGACCAAATCAGGAAATGGCCATTATCGCCTGACATTGACCGGTCAATGTCCGATCTTTTCTTGATTTCGGGGCTTGGCCAGCCAGTTTGCGAAACGGCATGGTGTGATCGGCCAAAGTCGGAAGAAGGTCATGAGCAGATTTTGGGTGCTTGTGTAACGTAATGATAATCACATTACAATGATTATTAATTATACTAAATTACTAAATCAGTAAAATTAGTTTATTATAGAAAATTATCAATCTCTATCATCACCTTGTTAAAACAAGATGATCTTTTGTGACATTCCGAATTACACAGCAGTTTGTTATTTTTACATTTGCAAATGATTTGTTGAACACTTCGTAGTGCTATTGCATCGAGTATTGCCTTGGCCACCAGTCAGTGATTGTGAAGACACATCGAGTGTTGCCTTGGCCGCCGGTCAGTGACTGTGAAGACACATGAGTGTAGCCTTGGCCACCGGTCAGTGACTGTGAAGACACATCGAGTGTAGCCTTGGCCGCGGGTCAGTGACTGTGAAGACGCGCCAATTCGTAGTGATTTCTTTTCTGTGCTCACGGATGCCAATGTGAACAGTTACTCGTGCAGAATGGAAAACTCACTTCTGGAATACTGTTGTTTGAGAACGCCGCGCTCTGCTCCTAGCTTATAGAAAGCGCCCTCGACGTTCATAACAACTGCAAGGACGCTTCGTGGATCACCGCGGCCTCTGTCAACCTGGTATACTGATGCGTAAATTATCTCCAACTATTGCTTATGGGAATTTTGCATCTGACTTTTTAAAATATCTTGTTGGCACCTTGAGTTTGCAAACTAGCAGGAGTTGCTGACCTCTTGTTCCTGATTTCTATATTATTATTATTATCATTAGGTGGTTTTATATAGAGCACTCACTGCAGTACATCAGCCTAGGGCTAGGCTCACTGCAGTACATCAGCCTAGGGCTAGGCTCACTGCAGTCCATCAGCCTAGGGCTAGGCTCACTGCAGTACATCAGCCTAGGGCTAGGCTCACTGCAGTACATCAGCCTAGGGCTAGGCTCACTGCAGTACCCCAGCCTAGGGCTAGGCTCACTGTAGTACATCAGCCTAGGGCTAGGCTCACTGCAGTACCCCAGCCTAGGGCTAGGCTCACTGTAGTACATCAGCCTAGGGCTAGGCTCACTGCAGTACATCAGCCTAGGGCTAGGCTCACTGCAGTACATCAGCCTAGGGCTAGGCTCACTGCAGTACATCAGCCTAGGGCTAGGCTCACTGTAGTACATCAGCCTAGACCTAGGCTCACTGCAGTACATCAGCCTAGGGCTAGGCTCACTGCAGTACATCAGCCTTGGGCTAGGCTCACTGCAGTACCCCAGCCTAGGGCTAGGCTCACTGTAGTACATCAGCCTAGGGCTAGGCTCACTGCAGTACATCAGCCTTGGGCTAGGCTCACTGCAGTACATCAGCCTAGGTCTAGGCTCACTGCAGTACACCAGCCTAGGGCTAGGCTCACTGCAGTACACCAGCCTAGGGCAAGGTTCACTGCAGTACATCAGTCTAGGGTTAGGCTCACTGCGCTTCACATATAAATTCACTATTAAAGAAACCTATACATTTAAAAACAACAATTGGTGAATAGCTTGACATCACCCACCCAAGTACTATCTACCCCTGACTAGCCATGGACAGCACTCAGCAGAATCGAGCGTTGTTTATCAGCCATAAGGGGGTGAGAATGAATCGGTATAGTACAGTTTGAAAAGATGGGTCTTGGGGCAGTTTTGAAGGCTGTGATGGTCGTTATATTGCGGATGTATAATGGGAGAGAATTGCATTGTTTTGGGGCGCAGAAAGAGAAAGATCGTTCACCATATGTTTAAGTGCGTGTTCTGTGAACACAAAGAGTACGCGTGTCTGCGGAAGAACGAAGCTTTCGAAGGGGTGAATAGACAGTAAGAATTTCAGTAAGATAGGAAGGGCAGCAACCAGAGAAAAAGTTGTGACAGAGAACAGACAGCTTGTAATCAATGGGTGGCTGTATGGGGAACCAATGGAGTGAGTGAAGCAGAGGAGTGGCGTGATCACGTTTCTTTGCCTATAGAACTAACCTAGCAGCTGAATTTTGAACTTTCTGCAGTTTTTCTATGAAATGTTTTGGTGAGCCTGACAGAAGAGAGAGTTGCAATGGTCAAGACGAGAGAGAACAAGAGCACAGACTATTGTTTTTGTGGGGTTTTCTTGACGGATAGCAGTCAACGCAGAGCGACAGATGTAAGAAATATGATTTATTGAGAGACATGTTGCCAGAAAGAATGTAACCAAGATTATGATGTAGTCTGCAAGTAATTTTCCTATCGTTCCCTTCGTCTGCTTCATTACTTATTCGACAAACGGCATGGACATCGTTGGCAGAGTATCCACAAGAATGGGCTGAATTAAACTCTTTTTCACACACTACACCAGGGGTCGGGAACCTATGGCTCGCGAGCCAGATGTGGCTCTGTTGATGGCTGCATCTGGCTCGCAGAAGAATGTTCGACTGTTAAATAAATGTTTTTTAGACTCCTTTGATTAGCAACAGCATAAAAATGTTATTTTAAAAGAATTCAGAGACATAATTATTGTATTTTTAGTGTTGTAATTACACAAAATGCACACATTTACTTGAATTTTTAGTTTTAAACATTATGTATGGCTCTCACAGAATTACTTTTCAAAATATGTGGTGTCCATGGCTCTCACAGAATTACTTTTCAAAATATGTGGTGTCCATGGCTCTACTAGACAAAAAGGTTCACGACACCTGCACTACACAGAATATGTTCGCATTGTTATTAGTCTTGCATCAGCACATCGAATATTGGCCAGGGATTTCCCGGCACTTCGGGAAGTGGCCGGCCAAAGTAGCATATACACTGGCAATTTCAAGTACATCGGACATTGGCCAAACTTCGGGGTTTGGCCGTAACATGTACCTGTTGGCTGTGTTCAGTGTGCGTGCAATGAAGGATGATAAATTTTGGGATAGTCACATGTCTTATTACTTTTAAGGACATAGAATTGAGTCCATTTTAAAAAACTTTAAATTTTAGAGAGGACCTGCAAAGAAATAAAGAGAGTATAACAATGAAAGATTTTTGTTTTAGATATAATCAAGAGAGGGCCATTTAAGTATTATGTATCCTTAATTTGCGCGACTTTTATTTAGACATCACTCATTTTTTTCAGACAGCATTCAATCTTATCAGACAGGGTTTAGTCTTATCAGACAGCATTCAGTCTTATCAGACAGCATTAAATCTTATCAGACAGCATTCAGTCTTATCAGACAGCATTAAATCTTATCAGACAGCATTCAGTCTTATCAGACAATCTTCATTCTTATCAGACAGCATTCACTCTTATCATTAGACAGCATTTATTTTATCTGACAGCATTCATTCTTATCATACATCATTCAGTCTTAATAACGTTCACAATAGGCAAATAGGCAATTTTTGTATTATGTACACAGCGTACAACTGGATCCACTTGTGGAGTGGGACGGCATACAGAGGAGGTCAGACAGTGACCGTGGCTGCACCCCTGGGCCAGCCTCCAGTTTTCTACAGGTCTGACTCGACTTACAAACAAGACTTCGAGAGACTGAAAAATGAGAGCAAAATGGCTGACCCAATTATTGGTTAAATTGATGCAGTGGTCCTCAAGTTTATAAATATTTTATAATCATTTTCATCAATGTGATGATGCCTCGTGAAAAAATATGTCAGGAAAACTATTGTAAGAACGTTAAAATAACAGCCTCTTAGCTTATGTTTTATTTCATTGTGATTGTACGTTGTCTGATATTTGGTAATACATTTTGATTGTACGTTGTCTGATATTTGGTAATACATTGTGATTGTACGTTGTCTGATATTTTGTAACACATTGTGATTGTACGTTGTCTGATATTTGGTAACACATTGTGATTGTACGTTGTCTGATATTTGGTAATACATTGTGATTGTACGTTGTCTGATATTTGGTAATACATTGTGATTGTACGTTGTCTGATATTTGGTAATACATTGTGATTGTACATTGTCTGATATTTGGTAACACATTGTGACTGTACGTTGTCTGATATTTGGTAACACATTGTGATTGTACATTGTCTGATATTTGGTAACACATTGTGATTGTACGTTGTCTGATATTCGGTAATACATTGTGACTGTACGTTGTCTGATATTTGGTAACACATTGTGATTGTACGTTGTCTGATATTCGGTAATACATTGTGATTGTACGTTGTCTGATATTCGGTAATACATTGTGATTGTACGTTGTCTGATATTCGGTAATACATTGTGATTGTACGTTGTCTGATATTCGGTAATACATTGTGATTGTACGTTGTCTGATAATCGGTAATACATTGTGATTGTACGTTGTCTGATAATCTGTAATACATTGTGATTGTACGTTGTCTGATAATCGGTAATACATTGTGATTGTACGTTGTCTGATATTCGGTAATACATTGTGATTGTACGTTGTCTGATAATCGGTAATACATTGTGATTGTACGTTGTCTGATAATCTGTAATACATTGTGATTGTACGTTGTCTGATAATCGGTAATACATTGTGATTGTACGTTGTCTGATAATCGGTAATACATTGTGATAATACAAATTTACCCATAAAAATATAAACGTGATAACTTTTTGTATAAAATATATAAATTACTTTTCGCATAAAAATATCAAAATTATAACTTTTCTCATAAAAATATAAACATGATAACTTATAAAATATAATTAAGAACATAATAAGTTAAACCTGACAAAGAAATATTGTGACGTATTTATTATCTAACGATAAAACCGATGTCAGCAGAGAACGCATAGTTCTGACATGCGCAGAACGATCAGCTTATCCTCTAACAAAATGGGTTGGGTAGTAATTGGCAATGGGAAACAAGTGGGATTCATTTCTTATGAAAGATTTTCCTTCCACTAACATGTCTGTGACGTCATATCATTATGACTTGGAACCACTGATGGGAGACAATTGATAGAGTTACTGTTACTATACTACCCGTGCATAGTACACAGGGTATTATGAGATATAAAGACTGGCCAATCAGAGTGTTTGATCTGATCATTGGGGGGGGGGGGGGGG